GAACCCATTCTAATCCTCCGGAGCTCTCGAAAGGAACGTCTGCACCCAACGACCGCCACGACAAGACTTGGACGTCCTTGGACGTCCTATTTCTCGTTTTCATAGGTTTATAAGATTATACTGATTTTGTTAGTCTTGTGTTATTAATTATATTTATATGTTGTATCCAGCATTGTGTATTTTCTTTCATACGGCCATTCATGTAATATATTCAAAAAAGATATAATCGTCTCATTTTTCAATTGATATAATATCGAGTAACTTTTCACTCTCCTCGGAAATTTCATCTCTGGTACTCGTTGCTGCTCTATTGTTGTTAGACTCCATGATTAGCTTCTGTATATTAACACTGGGTCTGCCATTGCCTTTTAAAATTATTATAAACATTATAAAATTGTATAAAGAAAATAACATTAGTATTGATATTTTTGTAAGTCTGTCTGTGGTATCTAACTTCACAGAACAACGAATGCGTGTTCGAATACCTCTCATTACACAAGAAAGAAGGTAGTGTCTTGCTTCAGGGAGACCCTAACAGTATCAGTTGTTTATAAATAAACCTGAGAGTAGATTTTGTCAGAACCCCTGCATTGGTGACCATGTGCGTAGTTCTGCGATTCATAACGTGAAATTCCTCACGCAATATGTGGGTGTCGCGTCATTGAAACCCTTGGTTCTACAGGCCCGGCAAGCGGTCGGGCTGCCTAGTACGTGTCCAGTCAGCAAACTATTTTGAAAATGTTATTTCTTTGTGTCCCGTTTTAAAATCTAACATATAGATACAATTTTGATGCTCTTGAGTACTTTTTAAATTAAAGTGACGATCTAAGGTGTAAATGTGTATTTTAAAAGTTAAAATATATGTTCAATGCATAAAAATGATCATAAACATATATTTACATCCGATAAAAGTACATTTTCTACGTTTAAATTTAGTTGTATTTATGTCTAGTAAAAGGTAGATGCGAGAAAATGTTTAAACGTAAAAATAATTGGTAATATTTCAGTAAGGTGATATTTCGGAAAAGCTTAGAGAAAACATAAAAAATACCTGTCTTCTAATTTCAACCACTGTACTTTTTCAGTATATTACATTTGCCACCAACTGTCATCAGAAATTTGACCATGATATAGATAATATTATTTTATTAGTCATTTTGATAATTGTGTGTGTCTTGCATGAGTGTCAGTCATGTTTTAATTAAAAAATTATTTACGTCGTTTTAAAATGTGTTTTGAACCACTGTTCTCTCTATAAAAACATTGTGTTTATAATATTTACAAATGATTACGTTTCAAAGAATTTATACGTATTTTCCGAATTGAATTAATGTTATAAACATTCATAATTGGTAAGAGCGTAGGCTTCCGCTGCCGGAGTCCTAGGCACAGGTGTCAGCGCTTTGTCTACCACTTTGCGACCTTCCTCAGGGCAAAATGCGGGAGGAAGCCCTTAATTCGTAATTGGTCTTCTTCTTCTTTAATAGTTCAATTAGAAAGGCTTCATTCTTGAACTTTAAATTAAACTCCACAATTTTATTTGCATCTTACTCTGTGTTTCACATTTCGACATTTTACATTTTAACAATTCCCTTCGCCGTGACATCTGTAGACATAAAACCACTATCCGTCTTTCGAACGACAGCGAGGCAGCTCCTAATGAAGACCCTTCAGATAGAGTTACAGTTTCGAACAGCCTTCTCGTTTCTTCACGTGCGCGTCTCCCCCTCGTGCCGCAATTATGAAGAATACCCAGCGGCAGGTCAATTTACGATTCGTCGTTTCTACATTACCTCTTCTTTCTCCGCAGGTAAGGTCGCGCCTGCAGCCTTCCGCAGGGTTTTACGACCGCGGCTGTCTCTCGTCCGCCCTCACCGGAGGAAGTCGTCTCGCCCAATTATATCAACTCCGCCGCAGTATTACCAACAGTAATATCAGAGTGCAGCTCCGAAGAAGTCGCAATGATAAAAAAACAAGTTTTACGATATTTCGCTCCAGGTGGGTTTTTACGAGTGTCTTATTTCCACTTGTATTCCCGTAATGGGGATCCGGAGTCCAGATGCGGAGCGTTTATCGGCGTGCTTGGCCCTCGGCGTGAATCGTAAATTAGAGGAGTGCTCCAGAACAGCTTATTCGATGCGTGCCACGTTCTCCCTTCCCGCTGCGTTTGATATAATGTGCTGCCGTACGCGCGGTACGTGCTTTGCAATTAAACGCGGTGTCTTAAAGAAGTAAATGAGGCCGCCATTCGCCCTAATAGACGCAGAAGGTTGCATACCAGCGGAACCCGTGCAATTACATCGCACAGAAGGTAGTTCTGGAGAAAATCTAAGACAAAAATACTGCATATCCATTAATATACATTATTTTTTTATATTTACCAAGATCTTTACGCATATATATATATATATATATATATATATATATATATATATATATATTGTTTTGGTCTATAACAGCTAATCCTGCAACCTTACCTTAATGTGTGTAACAAAATGTACAAAATACAATTTGCAAATAATAACCACAACTCCCTCACCTCTTTGAGGTTTTCCGTTCATATCACTACAATAATACATCAAAAGATACATTGAATACTTACAATCGATAGTCACAAACAATCCGATTAACTATCACACTACACGATGTTCTCTAAGCAAGATCGACTGCTCTCCCATTTCCCGCGAACTTGCCAAGTTGCGCATGACGCCATCTTCCCGTTTTCCTTCAAGCCGCTCATTTCAAACAACGTTTTTCGTAGCTTTTTATTAATAAAGGAAAGGTGCGATCTATATTCAATATTTAGTGACTTCCACTCCTTTTTATTGTAACTCACTTATTCAATCTTGTAAAATGGAAATAAGCCAGTCTTGAATTGTATTTTAAATTAAAGGAAGTTCCAAGATGGATTGTAGACAGACATTTGTATACTTCTTTATTTTATTTCGTTTCAAAATGACGTGGCTCATGAAACCAATTAAAGAATTTTACATATATCCGTCTACAATTAATCTTGTGACTCCCTACCTTCAAATTAAAAACTCACTTGTCTAAAAGTGTTCCCTGGGAGCCGACAAGGAGGGACGTCAAAATCGATCTCTTTACAGCTTTAATACACACGCAATTAAAGACGATTTTTACATTCTGTAAAACTACGTACAAACATAGTTTTCAAGTGTATGATGAATGCAAAAACGTGATGTGGAGCGCCTTCCGTCAAGCCCGTTTCTCCATTGGCACTGTGACCGCCGCTTCCCAGGAAGAGCGCCCGCGTGTCCTCCCCCCCCCACACACACACACACACTTTGCCTCAGTCGCCCGGGGCGCAGGGCGTCCCCGTGGCTGCCCGTCGCACTTTGACGCGCGCTTTAACGTCGTGAAGCTCCGACGGTGCTGCGGCGAGACGCCCTGACGTCACGGCCATCCACGCGACGCCTCGCACTAGCCCTTCGCCGAAGGCGGTACGATTCTCGACACTACACTGTGGGAGTTGGAGCTTTGGGATTGACAGTTACCGAGCACATGGGGCGCTGTTGCTGAAAGTACAAACGCGCGAAGCCTACTGCCTACAGCTTTTCATGGCACTTCAGCGTCAAATTATTAGAAATTCAATTATTTCAAATGATTAGAAATTCAATTATTTCAAATTATTAGAAATTTAACTTTGTACGAACCGGACCAGACCGCCACGCACAAGCGATATATGCTGCAGTAGACATAATGCCAATACTTGCATGAAAATTGCGGTAAACAACGCTAAAAGCGCAGCGAACGGCTATAGACTTTCCTGATCTTGTTTATTTTCTGTTACATATCAGCCATCGATGTTCGAAAGGTTAGGGATGGCTGCATAGCAGGGAAGTGTGGCGACATTGCACGTCGCGGTCACTCGGAACTGCGCTATAAAGGAAGAAGCTCCGGCTTTTCAACGGCACTGCGATCTTCATACGAAATCCTACTCATTGTTTACAATCTATCAGGGCTGATGCTTCATTAGGGTTCGCGACCGGGCGCGGCGCCCACGCTCGTAACCGAATCTTGCATTTGGCCGTGCACTTGGCGTTGTATACAATTTATCGGCAACGCGGGTCGGCGGATGCCCACGTAACTGACACCCGATTGGCCCAGGGCAAGCCGTTGTCAAGGAAAAGTAGAGACGCCACCAAACTGTCAATACCGAACATTATCTCCCACAGTATACCTACATAGTTGGGTCGCATTTAAACAAACTGAGCAGAATTCTAGATGTCGACTGCTCAGAGCTGTAGTTTTCCGTGTTTTATGTTACATTCTTTCAAATTTCTTTTTCTTTTCAAGTGCTGTGAGCATGCACTGACACTCGTTCCCAATGACACACTACTTTTGAATTGGGAGACAGTTCCTGAGCACCGCGTCTAGTATTGACTTCTTGTACCTCTGTATTTGATGGTAATTGATAGAGTTTTGGTTGAGAGGTACCTGAAAATATTTCGTTTTGTTACCCACTTCATCTACGTGTTTTACCAAACTTTAATACGGAGCCGTCATATAATACGATTTATTTGGTCGTGCACATGGGGAAGCATGGGGTTGCGGTTTCATCCAACAGTGAGCTAATAAGTCGCTATTGTAACGCCTCAATGGGGACGTTCAAGCTCCCGATTGGGTGAAACCGTGAACAGCAGATTTACTTCAAATGCACTTTTAAATAAAGCCTCGTATACTTAGGCAACGCGGCAAGCAGTAGGCGGAGCTGTTATTGCTCTAGACGCGAACGAGGCTGCACTAGACATTGCCTGGATATGTAGGCTTAGAATACGTCAGAAACATCATGTACGCGGGTTAGGAATGAGGCGAACCGCTAAAGAAAAAATGGTGGAAGACCGGCGCATTAGCACACGTTACGTGATAGCTCGCAAGCAGCACGGGAGTCACGTGATAACTCGCGAGGAAGTTATCGCCATGGCAAACACGTGATGCCTCCGGTGTATAAGGATTTATTTTTTGATTCCTGATTCTACGTACGCCAACTGCTAAGGTAATTATTCCCACAAGTGTAGTGCATACATTTGATAATGAGAGGTAGCGGTGATCATTTCCTGCTGATGGCAAGATCGGCACCGACTTACCCGTCGGCTTTCCCATACTTGGTATCTCCCACCAGCACGGCACTATCCCAGGTGAGGCATTTTCTAAACTCCCGACTTGCCTCCCGACATGTGTGATACTATAGTTCATGTTAGTGTGAATGTTAGTAAGGGATGGAGATTGGATATGGAAGAGAAAGGAAAGGTGGTGCGCGGTCCGTGGTTCGTTTGTCAGGGTACTGCTCCGACAGTCGCGTAGTTGGATCGGATAAACCACGGAAAACTACAGAAAACAACAGAGCTTCTGGTCGCTAGAATTCTTCTCAAAACAGCGGCTGAATTCGACCTAGCTATGTAGCCCGTGTCGAAACTCCTTCCACGACGGGACTGGGACCCCAGGGCCTTCCAGTGAGGGGCATTGCAGTGACATCAATTAATGCCCTGAGCCACCTTAGCCGGTCGATGTATACGGAGAGTTGTCGTGTAACGCCGCGGGTTTCAAGCAGCATGAAATCCGCGTGACCAGACAGCAGAGCAGGGTGATGCAACGTCATTCGCGTCTGCGAGGGGGTGTTGTCTTTACAACTGTGGATTTTAAATACTGCACGTAATGTGAAGCGACATGCATTCACAAGCGGAAGGCACGGCTTGAATCGTAGTTACGCGGGAGTAGTAATGCTTCAGGAGCAATATGCGACAAGCAGTACGGGAAGATGATTCTTCGAGGTCTAATGAATTGTAAAATACATTTCTAATTTTTTTTCTCGCATGTGTATGTATCCTGCCTTTTCATTTTCTGACAATGACACAAAAATGAAGACATGATATAACGTGCTTGGTTTACGTTTATGCGAACACAACTTTAAAAAACGGTAACTTCGAGTAGGTTCTTTAGAAAAATCGTGGGCATACACAATCTATTGGTTACTGTTTACCACTTGGCGCGAAATTATTATTTTTCTGCTAAACTATCCTGTTGGAATGCAGTAGAGCTCCAAGCAATTGGTTACTTGAGAGATTTTATTTGTTAAAATAGTAGTAAACGGTTATTATTAACTGCATATACCCCTTGAGCTTTGGTGTGGGTTCAACTACATTTTGCCCTCCCTTGACATGTGTACAACTATGCACGGTTTTAATAGAAGATTCATACCATCGCAAGAAGTGAATACTCTGTGGTCAGGAGCATGGCGATCTAGGCTGATTTAAATCTATCTTTCAGAAATGTAAATGAAAATCTGAATATATTTCCCGTTTAAGATATTTATATATGTACATTGCGGTTATAAACTTTACTGTTTTTGCAAGTAAAATATGATGACCAGAAATGTGTGTCCTAAATGAAGACACTCGCCTGTAATGAGTTCGTGTAAGATGTCATTCGGATTACTTTGAAATAACCGACGCTAAACAGACTGCATTCTTTACAATCCTCTGTATTGAACATTAATAATAAATGATGTTATATATCTTAGGCAACTACACAATTTTTTTTCTATTAGAAACTGTAATGAACTTAACAACGGTAATCCAATTTTAATGCTCAATTCAACAACTCAATTTTCTTGTTAACAGCTCTCGATTTTGACGAGATAGAATTTCACGTTACCCAGTACCTACGGAATGATTTATCGATTTAGTCATAAACTTACCGGGTTGAGATGTACTTAAGAAGATTTATGTCGTCAAATTATCACGTGCGAGTGCCGCGTTCTAGTGCAACGTACTTATTGTCTTAATTTCGAGCGCGCGCGACGCCTGGCGCGTGGAAGGCGCTCGAGCGTTATAAAGACATCGCCGTGCGAAACTACGTTGTGCGTCGGGTCGTTTCGGTTAGTTCCGGGTACTGCCGGGCAAATGCGTAGCGGGCACCGCCCGGGATCTTCTAGCAGATAACCAAACCCTGGCCTTCGCCCCTCGCCCGCGCCGGCGTCTCTGCGCTCTGCTCGCCTTCAGCGTCGAGCGCGACGGCTGACAGTAGCACGGGAGCCTGCGCATGGAGGTCCAAAAAATATTTCGAAATCAGTGGCTCAACACAGTCATATGAGATCTATTGTACTGCACTATCGCATTTCGCGCCGTCATTCATCGATAGATTAGATAGATAAGTAGGTAGATGGGTAGATGGATATGTGGATAGATTAGATGGGTATGTGGATAGATGTATATGCGTATATGTATGTATGTATAGGTATGTGTGTGTAGATGGATATGTGTTGATGTAGTAGATGTGATGGTGGATGTGGAAGTTTGGGTGAAGATAGAGGTGGAAGTTTGGGTGGAGATGGAGGTGGCAGTTTGGTGGAGATGGAGGTGGAAGGATTCGTGAAGACGGATGTGGAAGTATTATCGTTAATGGAGAAGAATAGGATGTGAATATGGAGAAGCCAGGTTGATAAAAGTTATGGTGGAGCAGTAGAGGTGAAGAAGATGCCGAGCTCGAGGTCGATATGAAGAGGAGGTGGTGTTAACAGCATGAGCAGGTGTGGGATCGGCTAGGATCTCTTTAAAGCAACGACTACCGCAAGGTTTACAACAAGCTGTCCTTAATGCACGTTGCAGGGAAGTCTTAATGAGATTTGGAGGTGAGATTATGGGCGCAGTTTGTCCCTCGCTGTGGTAGCTGGCTGGCGCTTTGAAGCTTTTGAGCACCGCCTCCGTCGCCGCCGCCTCAGACACCCCCTTCAGCCTCATTTTGCTCCTTTTCGTGTTTGTAGTTGCCGTCGGAGATTTTTTGGGGTATCTTCGTTCATTTTCTTTCCACCTGTTTTAAGATTAACATTATCAGTAATAAATACACTGATATTATCATCATTCGTAGGATAATTAACATTAATATGATTACCAATATCATTTCTTGATCTTTTTGTACTCATGCTTTAGGGTACGTAGTAGTTTTGAAGTTAGGTCAATTACTAAATGAAATCATTTTACTTGTTAGATGTGAATGTTTCAGTACTTTTTCGGCATTAATCAGGCTGTACATTTTTTTATAAGTATTATAAAACATATTTCCACTCCTGGGGCTCAATACAAGACACTGCTCGTTAATAAAAAAATGTTTATTCTTTGGAACACATTTTATAATGTGATGGTATACTCTTGTGTTTTTCTACATTCACAAAAGACATAATACTAAAAGAGGGATGTTCATAGAGGACGGTTTTAAAAAGGCAGTATCCACCATGTGTGATTTGTAACAATATTTCTGACTCTCAGTACTCTCCATAGAGTCTCACCGTGCTGTGTGAACATTTGCTATGATCTGCTGACGTAACGACGTTATTAGACTGGCGAGTTAAGTCTAGCGCAAAGTGTATTCTCGTACCGAAAATTTCTCTGTATTTCGTTCGCTTCGTTTTTGCATCTAGATCACAATGAAAATAACACGAAACACATGAATCTCCATTTGCTTCCCTGGAGCAGTACAGAGTGGAACATTTACTATAATGCAAGCGAGCGTTCAGGTCAAGGGGAATGAGACTTCATTCTAAGCTTTTGTATGCAGTTCTTTTAATTTCTTTGTAATCGAATGTGACGCAGGTGCAGAACGAACTATTTTAATTTAGTTATTCTTAAAGGTACCTACAAAATGGACGCTTGCACTTCGTACCTCAAATTCAACGTGCAATAACAAGTTAAAAATGTATCTCTCTTGACGAGTTACGCTGTGTTCGGTGGTATTTCACTGTTAGGTTTTTAATGTCTGTTCTTTTCTCTTTCGGATAGTAAGTCACAAAACAGTGTAGAAAGACAGATGTCCTTTCGACAGATGTCTGCAAATATTAAGAAAATTTGAAACACCTTTAGTAAGATATTTATTATAAAATAAACAACATTTTTATTTTAAATTAAACATTTTTATTATAAAATAAACAACAATTTTATTACAAAATAAATATTTTTATCTTAAAATAAACAATGTTTTTATTATAAAATAAGTAATATTTTGCTCCTCTGAAATTCCATCATTTACATCTCAGAGATGTTGGTCTAAATGACCTAGGAAGAAAATTTGAGATTGAGAAATGACCTTGTTTGAGTAGAAAACACTTCATTGCCCGATGGTGAACAATGATTTGCAACCCAACGGTCCGATTTTTTTTATGTTGCCAACAATGTGGACTTTCATTAATTTTCTTCAAAAATACAATTTCTCCCATTAAGTGTCGTGCTACAGGAATCCACAGCGTGAGAACTTACGCAAGCAAAATTATTTATCTCCAAAAAGGGTAGTACACGCGAATATGATGGTAAAATGTTCCTTATAACCAAACGACATTCGAATTGTTGAACTATGACTGTAACGTTAAAATAAGATTTTTGAGAGGTTTCTTTGCACCCTCCCACCCCCTCACCAACTCC